GCCTTTTCTAGGCAATCCGCAGAACACCGGCGCCTGAAGCAGACTTTGCTACAACCACTCCAAAATCTGCTGTGATAAATATTGGAGTGGGTCACCCATCTGCACAAACTCTTTGCTATTTTTGATGGCTGCTCATAAGCGTAAACTGCAGGCAATTCGTAAAACTCCGGCTCGTGAGTTTGGAGTTGCCACAACTACCCCTGGATTCTCTGTGGAGAATGTTGCAGTGGGCATTCGACTTTTATTCTAACAATTTGGGCGATTTAGAGTTTCCCGCATTATTTTTAGGCAATCCGCAAAACTTCGGCCCCTGTAACCGATTTTGCAACCACCACTCCCAAATCTGCTTTAGAAAATGTTGGAGTAGGCAATTTTCTTAACATAGGGCTTACATTACATTTCTAGTGGTAAAAGCAAGTGATTTCCTGACGATTCCAGGCAATTCGCAAAACTCCAGCTCCCGAAACCGATTTTGCAACAACAACTCCGAAAACTGCTTTAGGAAGTATCGGAGTGGGCAATTAGCTCTTTCCTCCTTAGAAAACAACGTAACTACACTTTTTTCAAATTCCAGACTATTCGTAAAAGTTCTGTTCCTGAATCCGCTGTTGCCACCACTACTCCTCGTTCTGCCGTGGGAAATATTGGCGTATGCGCATAAATACCTTTTTGATTTCCGAGAGCAAACGCTTTGCCGACACCTCTCCCTCTTGCAGGCTATACGCAGAACCCCCGCTCCGGAAGCCGTTTATGCTACAACTACTCCTAAATCTGCATTGGGAAATATTGGTGTGAGAAATTCAAAAAAATATACGACAACTATATGTCGGTTACAGAATTAAGAACTTTCGCATGCTGATTAATCTAAGCTACTCCTCAGTGCCAAATGTTGCTGCTTCAAAAAACTAAGCGAAAGTTTGAAAATGCCTTTCTCAGCTGTTACTAAATCTTGACACTTTGGACCACTCACCTTTAAACCCATTATGCTGTTGAGCGTTTTTTCTGTAGTGATCATTGGCTATAAGATTTTGGTGCTTTTGTCTATGCCAGAAACTCAAATGAACACCCTAGCTGCAACTAAACGTAAGCCAAATATGTTTGCAAAAGCTAGAAGCGCTCAGTGCCGAAAAACGGTTAAAAGGATCTTTTCTACTTTTAGCGTAGTGCAGGACAGCTGATCATCGTTGACAATTTCAGCTAAATTCTGTTGATATTGAAGGATGTTTTTTGTCTATGATTTGACGTTGATTGAAGGCTTTTA